AAGAGAAATTATTGCCTCTCCAATAGTCACACTTTCTAGAATACCAACCTCAAGAAGATATCGTAGAAGTACAATAGATGCCCATCCTTTTCTTTCCCACATCCTTCTCCACTTCGACACGCAAAATGTTTTCTGTACCAGACAGGAATCGCTGAATGTATATTTGATGCAAATTTAAAAGATCTTACCTGCGCAAATCCAGTGATATCATCCTCTGGCAATTCTCCATTTACCACAACTTGAACAAGGTAGTGTGTTGGATGTCCGAACCTATTGAACCATGGTGTATATTCTCCTTGACCTCGCAAACTTGGTATCAAATATAACTTTCAGAAGAATATAGATAAATAGAGTGTCAATAACTGCATTAAAAGATTTCAATTTAGAACTACAGAATATGTAGATGTAATCAAATGAATTTCTTTTAATAAATTAGCTATTATATAATATTCATACTACTGTATATTTCTGAAAATAAGCTATATCTAATAATAAGCTACTTTTCTTTTTTAAAAGAAAATATAAAAATATCTTATACCTGAAAATAAGCTACTTAATGATCGTCAGTAGTTACTCTATAGTAAAGTCAAAATTTTACTAAGTAAATCGATATAACTTATTAAGGAAAAGTTGTTCAGGAGATCAAAATACATATATTTTGAAAGTTTTATCCAAATTAGATAACTTTTTATTAATACATTTTTGCATGTTACGTTTGACGAATTTTTTAAAATTTCTTTAACGTTTCTTTAAAATTCATATATATTGAATGTAAAAATCAAAAGTCAATTAATAAAAAGTTATTCAATTTACATGAAACTTTCAAAATATATGTATTTTGACCTCTTGAACAATTTTTACTTAATAAGCATGATTGATTTACTTAATAAAATTTTCGGAATTCCCAAAAACACTTTTATTCAATAATAAGCTATCTGCAAAATTTTTATGCCAAAAATACGGGTTGGTTAAAGCGGAGCGAGGTATAGAGTTACCTTTTTGATGCAGTTAAGGTTAGTGGGTTATATAGATATCAAGAATACAATATATGCAGTATGTAGATCATATATTGAATTCGCTCTGCTTTAACCAATCCTCAAAAAATGGTAGCTTATTTTTGGATATATATAGTATATCGATTACTTATTGAAGAGACTAGTGAACAATTGATTATATATCAAAATTTTTTTTCTGCATATATAATAGTTATGCAATTTGAATTGAGATTATATAAATTTGTCTTTTTTTTTTTTTGGTGTTAAGGTGACCTCTTGATTAAGCATGTTTTATTGATTTTAAATATGTTATATATATTTGGAGGGTACATCTAGTCATACCTGTGCCTTTTGAGCACCTATTTAAGTAGTCTGCCTATTACTAGGTTCTACACTAGTTGCTATACCTGCAACCCAACTAGGGGGTTACCCATATAAACCCTTTGCATCTATATACTCTAATATCTACGTCAATCGGCAACCATTCCTCCAGTTCTATAAACCGGTTTCTCTGGCACACGTTCATATGATGACTTAGGACTACTTTATTCTCGAGGTAAACCTGACAGAGTCCGCAGTATTCCCACTTTATACTGCATCTAGCCTGCGCTTCAGTCTGGTACGCATGGGCTGTGGCCTGCCACTTGCGGCTCAGTTTGTCTATTCTGGAAGTGTATATAGCACCGGGTCAAGATCCTTGTTTATGGTTTTTTCTCTAGCTTAAACTTTCTTCTGCTTTCTTTTTACGATTTAACCCTAGTTTGGCTAAACTCTGCTATCCAAATCTACTTCTGCCCTTGTAGAGTTTACTCAAACCCCAGAACTTACTTTACAGTATCTCTCCAGTACTTTAGTAACCTAGCTCCCTTTACCCAGACTTCCAATTCAGATAGCCTGATATGTAATTACTTATTTTTCTCCGATTCGACGGCAGTCTAGTTAGTGTTGGCGATTTCAACTATTTGTTGATAGCAGAGGCCCCAATCCTGGTTCTCAACTTTTAAGCTAGATAGTCTAGTAACCATGTACTTTCTTTTGCGTCTAGGCATCCCACGACTTGCCTGCAATTGCAGGGGCTCTCTAGCTAGATTCTTGGTTCTCTTTTCTATTTGTAGCAGCCTAGTTGGTGTGGATACTTCCCAAATACCCTGTATTTCATCCAATTCAGTTCACATCAAGGTAGAACCATCTATATTATGCAAGATTTTTAATTGATAAAATTTTTTTTTTATATGTTTTACAATACTTTTTTTTGGAAGTTCAGGTAGATTATCTCCTTTATAAAACACAATAGATTATTAGAGAAACTTGAAGTTCTTACCTTGCCCTACAACATATTCGTTTAATCTATTTTAATCCAACAACTTTCATATTATACCTTACCAGTCAAAGTTATAAGCAATTAACTACCACTATACTGATAAAATCTCGTTTGTTAAGCAAAAAAACAAAAAAAACCTAAAATAATGGTTAATAACGATAGTGTAAAAGAAAGAGATAATTTGTATATTTTTTTTATTATATGTGCTGTATAGAAATCTTTTAAAAAACTGAAAATATATGAATAATATTAATTAACTTGTAATTTTTAATATTATTACTATAAGAATTTTTAAGATACGTTTAAGAAGCTTATATAGCAGCAGGGAGAGCGAGCAGACTTTTTTGTGTGTTTTTACACCTTCTCTTTCACGAGTTTTTTTCGTCAGTCTATTAAAATTGATACTAATTTTTTGGTGTTTTTATACGAAGCGAACATAAATCTCTCGTCATTCGACTGACGAAGCAAACATAAATCTCTCATTAATCACATCGTTATTCATATGAAAACTTCTTTTTCTGACTTCAAGTGATGAAGTCATGAGAAGGTGGGCTTAAAAAATAGTAACTAATTGTGGTGTGTTTTTACACCATTCAGTCTGCATGTTTTTAAAGCTAAAAATTGTTAAAATCGGTACTAATTTTTTGGTGTATTTTTATACCTTCTGTTTGCAAGTTTTTTCTGACTTCAAGCATATATGCAAGAAGGTAGGATTAAGTTTCATTCTGGCTTTGAACAGTATCTGCGAGAAGGCGGAGCTGGCGAGAATAAAATTGCAAGACATAAAACTTTTTCCTCCTCTAGTTCGGAAAAAAAGAAAATTAGTTAACTATACCTATCTAAACATGAACTTGTAAGTAGACAGGATATATAAGTGAAATAAATATTTTTTATTTAAACAAAGAATCTGAATAATCAATATATAATAAAAAATACTGAAAAATATGGTAGGTAAATGTCCAGGATGTGGATAGAGCCCTAAAACTAGGAAAACAAAAGATCTTAATAAGCATATGGACTTAACATGATTCAGACCATGTCAGGCTCTCTTGCAACTAACGCAAGTGCAAAATATATCTCAAACTGGAAACACTATTCAAGCTCTAGCTTCAGTAGACAATTTAGCACTAGCCTCCGAAGACAATTTAATATCATTTGACAAAAACCTGCCAACATACTAGCCAGCCCAGCCGAGTGTGCCAGCAGTTGATCTTTTAACTAGTGATATTCCAGAAGCAGATCCCGAAGCTGGTCCAGGTCCTAGAACACAAATACATAGAGAGCAAAAAAAGAAATTAGTTTTAACTATAAATGAACTAATAAAATGGTTATCAAAACCAGAAATAAAAAATAACAAAAAAATTAGATCCAAATTAGTTCCTAAAACAGATAAAGAATGGTTTGATCTAATGGAATCAAATATTAGTGAACCTAGTAATCCAGAACCTCAAGCTTATTATTTTCTAGATTTGAATATAGAAGTACCTTGGCCCATCCTATTTTCAGAAAATGAAGAGCATCATGAAGTATGGCAAAATGGCATTCAATATGCAAAAGATATGTTTAAAGTGGATGGAGCCAAATATGCATTCTCAACCTAGTTTATAGATACTGAAGAACATAAATTAGAAGCTGGAATGACTGAAGAGCAAGCCTGAGAAATTTCAAATACAATTGATAATAGTGAGTATTTAATAAGAATAAAATTTATTCGAGCCGATACAGTAATATCAGATAAGAAAACAAAAAGAGGTTTTAAAATTATAGATAAATATGAACCTATTTGTAAGTCGAAAGGGCAAATAGTAAATATATAAAAGGTGGTCCAAACGTTATACTTACAAAGAAAACGAAACCAGGATTTTGGATAGAAATAGATGAAAAATTTTTGGTTAGAGAAATCAGTGAGCAATCTGAGGTAGGGAAGCTTGACAGTAATACAGTAGTCTATGGATTATATCGAATCCGAAAGCCAGATGTCAATCGATTAATACCTATGAAAGATGGAGCATTTAACTGTGTAGCTCAACGAGTAATAAAGCATTTTGATAACACTAAGCGAGGGCATGAATTCACAGAAATTCGTCAGCAAAAAATAAATGATTGGGAGAAAAAAATGCACATTCTAGGTGCTCGAGTACAAGATGTAGCAGAGTTAGAAAAAATTCTTAAACGACCGATTAAATTACTTGATATAACTCATG